TGTAACAGACGGTTTGAGATGAGAAAAAATTTTTTCCGGAATTTATTTTGGCGACCTCCCCCCCCGTCGCCAAAAAAATTTCGGTCAGTGTACCATTTTAGGGGTCAAAAATTTTTTCCGGACAACAATTTTTTCCAGACACACCAAATTTTTCCGAAATCTAACACAATTTTTCGAAACATCACAAAATGTACCACAAAATTTGTCGATTACAATTGGTTTCCAGGTCCTTTATCTCAATTTTGCATACCAAATTTCGGAATGGGGGGGTGGGCACTGGGGCGCCCCCAGCCCCCCCCCCCCTCAGCTACGGGCCTGACACAACACCAACACAGAAAAAAGTTATTGATCCAGTGTTACTACAGGAGGAAACCCAACTAAATATCTTTATATAATTTATACGGGATAACTCTATCAGTTCTAAACTGTTCTCCCTAGATATTCAGTTACGGCCATTGCACATAAACTGTCCAAATTAACTTAATAGCATACCTCAGACATTCGGATATACTTCGGAATCACTTCGTGTATCACGTGACGATTGTCTTCGGAAAGACGTCGGAGACATTCGACTACTTGCGGAGACCAGTCCTTTCCTAACAACACGCCGTATGCGCGGTCTCGTGGAATGATACGAGCTATGTGAAGATTATTTTTGCTTATGCGTTCTGAATAATATGAGGCGGTGTAGAAATCAATAAATCCAAGTCGAACTCCGTTTTTTCGATTGGACACTGCGCGAATAACTTCGAGTTCGTTTTTTTCCACTGAAAGATACAGGAATCTCAGTTAATTCACCATCACCACGGCGGAAAAACGTTTAGTGTTATTTGTAGGTAAACTCTGGAATATGCTAACTTTGCATATAAAGAAAGAACAATCGAATAAGCTTGTGGAACGAGTTTTTTTGGGAACAATATTCTTCAAAACATTTTAGTAATTTATACATATATAGTAATTTAGTAATTTATATAATATAGGGTGTCCCAAAAAGCCCCCCAAAACTATTCAAATAACGTATTGTTAGAACTTGAATGCCTCAGCACTCTGCTGAACCCACAAGTGCATAAAAGCTTGACATAAGTAAATTTTATGCATAAAGAAACTGTTTGAAAGAATGTTTGTAAGAGAGATTTATGTAATAAATCCTAAAGTCTATCAGAGGACAGACGCACGGAATGACGTCACACAAAACCTTATCCAATAGCATTCCCTTATTTGTATAGATCATGTACGTGTGACATTTGTAAAATTTCGACTTTTTCAAATTTCCAAATGTGGGTTTTCTTTTTATTATATAAAACAACTAAATAAGATTTTGCCGTTGTTTGTTCAGTTATAGATATACCGTATGACGTCATAATGTGGGAAGAAACAAAAAGCGACCCACTCGCCTCGGCGACTCGTGAGCCTCTTTTTCATTGTGCTTCCCACATTATGACGTCATACTGTGCATCTATAACTGAACAGACAACGGCAAAATCTTATCTATTTGTTGAGTAGCTATTTTGTGTAACACTCTTGAAATAAAATTTCCATTCCACCAGAAAGAATGGTTTAAAGTGCCTATATCACTTGTGGGACCTTTATGGATTTGAAAAGAGCGTAAAAAGTTAGTTAATAAGTTCAAAAGATTTTTTTGATTTAGTGCAATATTTTTGAAGATACAGGCCTCTATTAAAACTACCTACAGTTCCTGAGTCCCAGGCTCCTGGGGTCTAAACACGGCTATTGAATTTGGCCTTTTTCGAAACTGTCCATTGTGCATATAGGAGCCTGGGACTCAGAAAAAGTAGGTAGTTTAGAGGCCTGTATATTCGAAATTACTGCACTAAATCAAAAAAATCTTTTGAACTTATTAACTAACTTTTTACGCTCTTTTCAAATCCATAAAGGTCCCACAAGTGATATAGGCACTTTGATTGAAATAATCTCGAACGGTCTTTGCAAGTGTAGGTAGCGACGATGGCAAGACAGTTGCGGTGAAAAATACAAGTAAAACTTCGGCGTTTCGTGCGAAGGCCCTTCTTTCTCTACTAACTTCTCGACGAAGGGCCTTCGCTCGAAACGTCGTAGTTTCTGCTTGTATTTTTCAGGTGGTGTAATCTCTCTGAATCTGCAGCTGTCTTTTTAATTGAAATACCAGTGTGTGGGGGGTTGATGACACAGCCGATTAGTGCATGTGTACCTCTGTGACAGGGCTTTGATTTCTGATTATACAGTTGTCCGATTATAATTTCTCCTGTAGTAACACTGGATCAATAAGAGATGATCCTTACTGGACCTCTAGGGAGAACAGCTAGTTTAGAACTGATAGAGCTATCCGGTATAAATAAAGTTAGTTTAGTTTAGGTTTCCTCCTGTAGTGACACTGGATCAATAAGAGATAATCCTTACTGGACCTCTAGGGAGAACAGTTTAGAACTGATAGAACTATCCAGTATAAATAAAGTTAGTTTAGTTTAGCTTTCCTCCTGTAATAACACTGGATCAATGAGAACTGATCCTTACTGGACCTCTAGGTTGAACATTTTAGAACTAATAGAGCTATCCAGTATAAATAAAGTTAGTTTAGTTTAGGTTTCCCCCTGTAGTAACGCTGGATCAATAAGAGATGATCCTTACTGGACCCCTAGGAAGAACAGTTTAGAACTGATAAAGCTATCCAGTATAATTGAAGTTAGTTTAGTTTAGGTTTCCTCTTGTAGTAACACTGGGATCAATAAGAGATGATACTTACTGGACCTCTAGAAAAATAGTTTAAAACTGATAGAGCTATGCTGCATGTATAAATAAAGTTAGTTTAGTTTCGGTTTGCAGCTAACCTTTGAGATTCGTGTTGTGTAAAATAGCGAACTTCTCTTCTTCCGTTAGGTTGACAGCAGATACCTAATATAAAAATATTCTAAGTTTTAAAAGCCAGGGGTGGGGCAGGGGAAAACCCATTTAGTCAAAACATTATTGTGGGAGATTGTAGCTTACCGTTATACCATAGAAGTGCTGTGTTCCCTCAAGTCGTGTCGCGGCCAGAGAAGTGGTGACCACTCCCATATACATTGCAAGGATCACCAAACCTGCACTGATCCAGAGAATTGTGAATAAACGACCCAAGATTGTCTTAGGAGTCACATCACCATACCTGAAAGTAATAAAAAAAACTTGAATGAGCCAATGACACGGTATCTAAGCTTTATACTAAGCTGTCCCTGGACGTCCGATATGGGTACAGGAGGAAACCCGAACTAAATTTATTCACACAGAGTTTTATGAATTCTAAACTGTTCTTCCTAAAGATCCAGTATGGCCATCTCTGGCCATCTCTGACCATCTCTTATTGTTCCAGTGTTACTACAGGAGGAAACCTAAACTAAACTAACTATATTTATACTGGATAGCTCTATCAGTTCTAAGCTGTTCTTCTTAGAGGTCCAGGAAGGATAATCTCTTATTGATCCAGTGTTACTACAGAAGGAAACGTAAACTAAACTAACTTTATTTATACTTGATAGCTCAATCAGTTCTGAACTGTTCTGCCTAGAGGTCCAGCAAGGATGATCTCTTATTGATCCAGTGTTATTGCAGAAGGAAACCTAAACGAAACTAACTTTATTTATACTGGATAGCTCTATCAGTTCTAAACTGTTCTTCTTAAAGGTTCAGTTTCCTAGAGAGGGGAGCAAATATGAATCATTACACCCTGCTGCCACCTAGCTCAGGATCACAAAAATAACAGTCAAAATAGCAGTTTAATAAAATATAACCAAGCATCTTACCCTACTGTAGTCATAGTAACCGCAGCCCACCAGAACCCATTCAAAACTCCCTTGGGACAAAATGGGTCAAACATCTGAGGATTTGAACGATGTTCCTGAAAAATGGAAACCTCACTTCAGTAAAAAATTATCACTATGTTGTATACAAAGACAATGTTATATAGGCAATTCCAGCTTTTATTTTATGCGTGCAGGGGGGATGGGAAGTAAGCTTTCATATTGCTGATTATGCTGAAAAAATAAAAATGGTGGCCGTGTAAACACGGAATGATAGCTTATACTTGTAAATATTGAAATTGTTTCGGCAGTTTTTAATGAAATTTTTCAGCATAATCAGCAATATGATACTTAATTCCCGTCACCCCCTGCGCGCATAAATTAAAAGCTGGAATTGCCTATTGGGAGGTGGATACTGGCAGGGTGCTACTGTTTTACAGCGCCCTGATACTGGCTAGTGCTTTTCGCGCAATTTGATTGGTTGCTCATTTCACCTCCGGACAAAAACAAAATGGCCCCCCGTTTCCTTCCGGTTAAGCCGGTTACAGACGAGCAAGTTTTCTATCACAAGTTTTTATGTGACAAGTTTTATTTGCTCGTCTGTACGCGCAACTTTGACAACTTTTTCTATGACAAGTGGACTTGTTCAAAAAGCTAGCATGCTAGCTCTGGAACAAGTGTCCTTGTCACAGAAAAAATTGTCAAAGTACAAATTTTGTTCGTTTCAACAAAGAAAACTTGTCAAAGTAATCTATCATAATTTTTCATGGCGGCGATAAACACCTTTTTCTGACACGTTCACACCAGTAAATAAAACATGTCATATGAAAACTTGTCATACAACATTTGTTGCATATACACACGTGCACTTGGCAAATAAAACTTGTCACATAAAAACCTGTCATAGGAAACTTGCTCGTCTGTAACCGGCTTTACAGTTGAGAAAATGTTTGCACTAAACGAAGCTGTGTTTCCGCCAAATACAAAGTATGTCACAAAGTTTGGTTTAACGGTGTGTAGAGGTATTCTTTAAAACCATCCCCAATGAAACGAATTACTAAAAGCTTGTAAATACTGTTTAATTTTGTTCAGGAGCTGAAATGCAAAATTGTTTTAAAACTATTTTCGTTGTTTTTTTGGTCATTTGTGTTTTGCTATATGGTAGGCTATATGCTAAAACACCCTGCACTATTATAGAAGTATTTTTTGTGACAGTTGTGTGCTTTTCAAGTTTTCCTTGTTGGTCGTACACATGAACAAATTTTCTTGTCCAAAAGCTAACAAGGAAAAGTTGTCAATGTTTTGCCGTAAACACAATCAAATAAAACTGGTCATGGAAAAATTGCCTGTCTTACAAGGCTTTAGTTTCCTGTCCAACTATCAATGCGCTTGAATCCATACGCGGTCTGGGACTTACCAGAAACCAAATAACAAAACCGCTTAATGAAGCGGATAGAATAACGAAAATGAGAATGGGCCACGCTAACAAGATAGCGTTCAGTAGATCTGTCCCAGTCAGAGTTTTTTTCATTAGAACCGCTACTCCGGGCGAATCGATCAATTTCACAAAATGCATTCCTAAGACGGAAACCTTCTCCTTCCTCAGTTTTACAGGCATTAGGATGCTCTTGGCTCCTAATTTTTCCGAAAACTCCGAGGTTGGTAAAGCGGACGGCATTTTCAAAGCCCGTCCATGTTTCAAAGTTTGCAACTCATCTGACGTCAAATATTTTTGACACTGTTCGACAACGGTCGGCCAAATTTCAGGTAAGATTCCTTTCAGATCTTGAATGCTTGAGGTTTTGTTTTCGAAAAATATAAGCGGTTCTTTTTCCCACCAAACCAAAGCTGGACTCGTTTCGCCGTCTGAGCGAACTTCAAGGACAAAATCCACTAAAACAATTACGGCAAGGACGCTGTGAACAACTTTCATCTTCAAGAGCGATATTGGCTTTGACGTTCAGTCGAAAATTTCTTCAATTCTGAATGGATTTTATGTGTACGTTTTGCGCTTAGATGTACACGTCAATAGCCAGCGAATAAAGAATATACAGTATTCCACTCACTGCAATTTTTCGTACAGTATTATTTTGTGCGACTAACACAATACAAATATAAAAATATTCATATAGCCACATTTACATATATCTTCTTGAAACTATATATCTCATTAAAAATCAACGGCATTAATATTAATTTTAATTAAGAATTTTCGTGTTCGCGTTGGAGGTGTTTTATCCGGTGTGAAATCAACAAAGTGTAAAAAGAAGATCTTTATAAAAACCGTTAAAAATTTTGGCAAATAAACGATGGAGATAAGGCGTCCGTGGAAACAGCTAGAAAGCTGCGGTTTTAAATTTGGCAAAAATAACGGGGTTTTTACATATTCGAAGCTGTCACAGGTGATAAGCATAAATTGAAAATTGTAGGCGTTATGTATGCGCACTTAAGAGATATAGCTGGGGAAAGATAAGGAAAAAATTAACAAACATATTTTTAGCGGCAATCGGTTAATGGATTGGTTTTTTACCTTTTATCAGTTCCAAATGAGTCAAAAATGCTTACCCAATTTGGATCTAGGCTATCTAAATCATCTAAAATACATTTGCGGATACGAAAGTTAGACTGGTATATTACAAGCTTCCCTGAATATGAGTCACCCCCCGTATAAATGCCTTACAAAACATTGCATAGTGAGGGTCATCTCATGTTTCCAGGAAGATGATCTAGGCTTTCTAAATTGTATTTTCGAATACAAAAGTATCACTCCCCTATATTATAAGCTTCACTGAATATACGTTCCTCCCGTACAAAGGCCAAATGCCTTACTAAACATTGTATAGTAAAGGTCGTTAAGGGGGAGGGGGGGCTTTCTATGAATCAGGTAAGTACCTACCTAATATATGAACATGTTCTTGGACTGGTCTCTGAAACAAAAATGATCAGTTTATAGTTGCTTTTCTTCGGAGATAATTTCTCTAGCTTATTGTCATAATCAACGAATCTCAAAGCCTTTATATAGGTATTGGGCGATCCTCTGTATTCCAGTTATTCGCCCCCATTTGATTTGCCAGATTCCATTTCCAGCCGCAAAGTTGCTGATCTCAACTGATCTATCATTTAAATCCCATTATCCGAGTGAAAAAGTAGGCAAACTCCATCTGATATATATATATATGCAATATGTCAGGGATTAAAATTCTTAAAATTCTTGGTCGCCCAAATGGACCAGGCCGCCCTATATCAATCTGTTATATTACATTATTTTATGTGTAAATAGATAACATTAAAAAACCCACTTGTTTAACATGTTGGCAAATTATATACAAAAGGGGAATGAAACACTTGAATCACGGAGATATTTTAAAGCTTTAGAACTATTTTATTATTTAAACACATTGAGTTGCATTGCACCCTACTTTAGTATTTTACTCTGTCTAACGCCAGACGATTTTACTCGTCAAGGGAGAGCGCTGGCGCTTAATGGGTAAACTGGCCTATCGCCCATGTGTCTAGTTAACCCATTGAGTTGCATTGCACCCTGACGCACCCTACTTTAGTATTTTACTCTGTCTAACGCCAGACGATTTTACTCGTCAAGGGGAGAGCGCTGGCGTTTAATGGGTTAAACTAATTTTTTCTCAGCCGCCACGAGGGTCTGGCTGGCACCCGATCATTTCAAACCCTGGCATACTCATATGTTTAATATCGACTTTGCCTCAAAAAAGCCCCAGGCTATAACTGAAATATTGAAACGGTATATTTCGAGGTACTAAGCAAAGCACTCTCCCACATTCTCTGACGCAAAACATACTTACATTCTCATGTTTATATTCATTGGACTCGTCTTATCAAAAATTCGACAGCAAGCCAAATCATGATTCACGTTCTAAATATAGACAAAAAAATGCACTGTGTGTTATCCTTATCGCGAAATACTCATGTATAGATATCCTGGTGAATTCCGATCAGTTCTAAACTGACCTCGTCTGATGAGTCCATGAGTAACAAACATACCTTATCCGCTGTTAATTGTCCTTATTAATACCTTGTCTGGTGTTACTACAGGAGGAAACCTAAACCAAACTAACTTGATAACACCATCAGTTCTAAACTGTTCTCGATGAGAGTATATTGGTCCAGCATAGATGAAATGGAATTCCCGGAGAAAACATGTATGTGGTTTGATATCTAAAAGGTATTTGGTGGCAGTGGTGGGGATCGTATCTCTATATATATTGGAACAATAAAAGATTGAAGTAATGGACTGTTAATGGACTTGTATAAAGAACAGTTTAGAACTGATAGAGCTATATCCAGTATAAATAAAGTTACTTTAGTTTAGGTTTCCTCCTGTAACACTATCGAGCAATATGAGATGATCCTTATTGGACCTCTATAGGGAGAACTGATAGAGCTATCCAGTATGAATAAAGTTAGTTTAGGTTTCCTCCTGCAGTAACACTGGATCAAAAAGAGATGATCCTTACTGAACCTCTATAGAAAGAACAGTTTAGAACTGATAGAGCTATCCAGTATAAATAAAGTTAGTTTAGTTTAGGTTCCTCCTGCAGTAATTAACACTGGATCAATAAGAGATGATCCTTACTGAACCTCTAGGAAGAACAGTTTAGAACTGATAGAGCTATCCAGTATAAATAAAGTTAGTTTAGTTTAGGTTTCCTCCTGTAGTAACACTGCATCAATAAGAGATGATCCTTACTGGACCCCTAGGAAGAACGGTTTAGAACTGATAGAGCTATCAAGTATATAAATAAGAATAAAGTTAGTTTAGTCTAGTTTCCTCCTGCAGCAACACTGGATCAATACGGGATGATCCTTCATAGACGTATAAGGAGAACAGTTTAGAACTGATAGAGCTATCCACTATAGCCACAGCTATAGTTTGATCATTGTTAGCATTAGGTAATAGCTCTGTTTTATTTTCTAATTTAATATTACATGTAAGCGCTGTGCGAATCGCAACGGGCTTTCGATCACACATTGTTTCCAATACAGTTAACAGCGTAAAGCAGTGCGATTCAAACGGTTTCATGCTGTTTGGGATTCATTACACGTCCAAACATAGAAACCTCGCGTTATCCCATTAAGGTGCAAACAGATTTTCGTTTTAAAATTACATCCAAAACACGCTTTATCATAGATTCTAGCAGATAGCGCTGAATAATTTAACAGACCAAGCGGCGCTGTTTGACTTAGATTCATATACAAATGCTAGGTGACGCGTAATTATCTCTGAACTGAAAAAATTGTGGATTTCGACGCCTTACTCATGAGGATGTGTTTTTTTTTCGCAAAAGAATGCCATGTTAATTAAGTTCCTCGTCTAATCAAACACGTTTGAATACCAGTTATCTGCATAATGAATATATTGTAGTCATGCATATACATGTCACGTCTGACTCGCTTTGAATAGATCATAAATACAAAGGACGAAACGGCGATGGCCTTTTAAAAGTATCGTCGGTTTGTTGGCGACAAACGGGATTTAAAAGTGCTGGCGGGTTAAAATTATATACCTGACAGGCATTATTTTGTCGACGCTGCGAAAGTATCGTTTGCTATACAACACAATTATTTACGGATCGCGTACTGCATGTACATATATTCAAGAACGTGTAACACGATCAATAAAGCCACAAAGGTATGATCGGTTATTTAGAACGACAGACATTAAAATCGCTAGCAGTTTAAAAGTAAAGAGAACCATATAGAATCGTGTTTTTTCGAGTAGTACATTCGTTCTTTCTGGGACATATTTATTTACGAATCAAGTACATATATATCCAACAACGCGATAAACAGCCACAAAAGTATTGACGTGATTATTCTGCATAGATAGGACATCAAAACCGCTGAGGCTGTTGAGGATCAGGGAATCATTGTTTTTTAAGGTCTGAGAAGTAGTACATTTCCTGTATCTGGGACACGTTTTTTGCGAATAAACCACATATATTCAAGTATGTGACAATCATCCACAAAATTATCGGCGATTATTTGGCATATATATCACATCAAAACTGTTGGCCGTTTGATATTTATACCGGGGATCGTTCTTTCTCAAAGTCACAAGAGTAGTACATTTGCACTACCAAGAACACTTGTTATTCACGATTCAACTACATATATTCGACAACGCGCGTATCAGCCACCGAAGCAATACGGATAGTCGGTTATTTTGACAACGATATAGAACATTAAAATTAGTTTAAAATTGCTACACCGGATCATTGGTTCTTAAAGTGGCGAAAGTAGTACATTTAAAATATCTACTACAGAAACATTTATTGACGAATCTACTTGAAGAAAAGCAACAAAAGTATCTTCGGTCATTTAGAGCAACGGGAGAGTATTAAAACTTCTGGTATTATAATATTATACAGATCAGGAATCGATTTTTATTAACGTGTAGGACTTGCTATATACGTCTAGAACACATTAATCAACGCGACGGGGAAGCATTTTAAACATATTTTTAATCGGAATTGGAAGCATCGCGTCTAAAACCTCTGGCTAAAAATTAAAGAATAAAAACGACGATAAAAGGTATGTATATTTGTTAAAATATCCTTTCGAACGGACTTTAGAGCTCTGTTTAGCACGGTCCGTATATTAAAAAATATAAGTGCGGAAAATCGAGTCGTGTATACTTAATTTAGACATGCAAAATAGATTACTCTCAATGCTATCATACGACAAAGCCCGCGTATATATAACCTACAAACTTTAATGAAACTAAAGCGTTGTTTAAATTTCTGTTAGATATCTGATATCCCAATATATAGACTTAGTCCATGCTATGTATGCAGTAATGCAGGCATGAAAATTGAAACGAACGCGGAACGTATTTTCAAATTTCAAAATGTCAATTATTCAAATATGCATACTATTAAAAGCAGGGAACAATCGTTAATTACGTTTGAATCACAATGCTGCATGTAAATTGCGTTTTGGTAATTTCAAAAGCTAAAATACACTCGCGAGTTCCGAGGTAATAAATTTAAATTAATGATCTTCTGTCGAGCTCAGATTGATTATATTACTTTACAAATAAGAATATAAGTCAATTCGCACGTACACCACGCCCGCGGGTATAGCTCTAACAACTCTAAAAACGTGTTTTCCCTCCTAGAAGCTCAGTAAGAGTTATGGCTTAAAACTTGAAGTCATCCGAGGCCTGTTTATATAGGCTTCTGGGGTCGGTTGTATAAAAAAGTGATTAAAGTTAACTATAGTTAGTGGAAACGTCATCCAATAAGAAGCGCGTATTTGAGAGTTAATCACTATATTTAACTACAAAATAGTGATTAAAAAAGTGATTAAGAGTTTTATACAACCGGCCCCTGAATTTTAGTCGACAGAATTTCGAAAATAACTTCTGTCAAATATATGCGTCAAATAGCTACTTCGAAAACTTCGCGCCATTTAAAACATCCATTTATCTCGGACAGAAAAAATCCAGCCGCATTAAATTCAACTGAATTAACTTCGACGGAAATTTATATTTCAGATAGGACAGATATTTCTTAACACTTTTTATCTTAATCGCATTTGAATATATAGGTTTTACACCCTTTCTTTTTGATATATTTTCCGAAAAATCTTTTACATTATTAATCCCTCGGTTTTGGGATATTTGAGAAAAGTAATACAAAGCCATTATCATCAGAAAAAATGTTAAACAACAGCCTTTTCTGGTATAGTTAATTAAATATGCGTATACAAAATGAAACCATATAAAAAGGCTTAAATGTACATTTGTCTACATTTTTATCGCTGTTATACAAAATTCACAGGTTTTGGACAGTGTACATTACACATGTAATTCACGGAAGATTAAAATAGAAAACAGGTAACTCACGAGCGTTTTAGAATTATTTGTACGTTTTAAAATTTAATAGAAATAGTCGGCTCACCCCTGTTTTCAGTCGATGCTATTGCTACCCAATTCAAAATTTGAGATAGCTCATATATGCCTGGCTATTGCTGTTGCAGTTTATACAGAAGCATAAAACAGAACAAAGGTAATTAAACATTAAAATTATCGATACTAGTTGAATTCCAATATAGGGCTATATATCACATTTAAAAACAAAATCCCCTGTCGAGGGCATCTGCTTTTCAAGATTTTTACCCCACTGTGATCATGACTGGATGGCATGGAGAACAGTTGGAATTTTCAAAACAATAAAAAAGCAACGGAACATTCTGATCACTGGATCACGACTGGATGGCATGGAGAACAGTGGGATTTTCAAAACAATGACGACAATGGAACATTCTGATCACTGGATCATGACTGGATGGCATAGAGAACAGTGGGATTTTCAAAAAAATGAAAAGACAATGGAACATTCTGATGACTGGATCGTGACTGGATGGCATAGAGAACAGTGGGTTTTCAAAACATTGAAAAGACAAAGGAGCATTCTGATCACTGGATTGTGACCAGATTGAACTATTTTGCTTTGTTGTACATGCACGTGGAATTTCCAGATCTGAGCGCACCCAATCTGCACCTCCTTATAATTGTCTAAAACTATTTTTCAGATTATAAAGATGCCAGCCGTCCTAAACAGCTTCTGCTAACAAAATTACATCACACCGAAGTATGGGAATCCCTTGCAGTGAATAATGTCACCAAAACAGCCCGACCTCAAAATATCTCATATATTTATCCTATTGTTAACATGCCTGCACGCGGGCGGGGAAAGCCTGAACGAAACCTGCAAGCATGGGGGTCAACTTACCATAATGTACTGGCATCACTGCCCGTATATCATGAATGAAACACGTGGAAACGTCTCTGGGGTCTTTCCAAACATTCTGAAAAGTATTGTCAAACAGTGTTGTCATGGCAACGTCGAACTGGTGTACCAGCAAACAAAGGGACCAGCGGATTTCTACACAGCAGTTCAAGAAATGAGATTTAACAGGTTAGTATATATAAATTAATGAAGCCAATGGCAATCATACAAACGTGACGTGTGTTTTGTCTTTCGTTTGTCAAGTATTTATCTTTGTACCTTAACCTAATATAGTATATATATCAGGGTTCGTACACCTTCATAATTTGAAAAATCCAGGGTTTTCCAGGACTTTTTTTCATCCTTTTTCCAGGGGTTTTCCAGGGGCATTTCAAATATAAATCTATAAGTGTTTAACGGATAAGAAACGTTCGCGACGGCTAGTACTTCATCTTGCACAGATACTTTTGGGTTTGTACCAGTTTGAACGAAATATATTCATAGTTTGACTATATATAATGCAAGAACCTTTTGTTCAATCGTTCTTTTTAAGATAGTGTTAAATAGTTTAGGTATAATCCTATACCTAGCTCAGTTTCTCAGTTTTCCAGGGTTTTCCAGGGATAAATTTGAAATTCCAGGGTTTTCAAGGGTTTTTCAGGACTAAATAAAAATCCAGGGTTTTTCAGGATTTCCAGGGGGCGTACGAACCCCGATATATGTAGATTGCTCAATAAATTCATTAAATAAATAAAAAAATCACTTTCTCTAGATCACAGCCGAAGAAGTTCGACATTGCATTGCCGGTCCACATAGAGAAGTACGGCAAGACCTTATTTGAGACTTTGCCATTTATCGCGATCGCGGAGTCGCTTGGCATAGCTGTTTTGAAACACAGCAATGTCTCCAGTGGAAAACTCATGTCGTCGCTGCTCCAAGCTTGGCCTGTCTTGTTATTCATTATCTTAACTGCGTGTGTTGCTGGAATAATTATGTGGTTTGTGGTATGTCAACATACTAGCGGGTGTCCCCCAAACAAAAATGGACACTGTTTGATTTCATGTAACGTAAAAGTTATAAAAGCTAGGCGCAATGAAATAAAGAACATTGCATTCAGAAAGGACTAACTTAGATTTTGATATATAACACTTGAATTTACATGCAATATTGACTGCGCTATTGACGTTTGAACATTGAATTACTGTTTTTGAAAATGCCAAAAATTAGCATAAAACAACCTTATAATTACCGATGTAGTTATACTTTTTAAATAATAAATATTGTTATTTTGGTTGTATCATGGATAATAAAATACATGGATAGGAAACTAGCTGACGTGACCTAATGTTTTCAATGGGATGATGGCGTTGAAACCTAGTTGCAAACCAAATTCTCAAAAACGGCATGTTTAGCGATAATACAGCTAAACATTCTAGTCAA